AAAATGAGCGATTAGAATGTATTTAAAATATGGAGAAGTATTTTAGATTATGTACTCTTTTTTAAGAATGAAAAGAAAAAATGAAAATTTTATTTGGGGCAGTGTGTGTGTGTGTTTGAAGCAGAGTAGGTGAATGGGTACCTGCAATTTTCTCCTGTAAAAAATTCTGTTAAACCTTCCAGTAACATGTTCCACAGTTCAAGTGTTTCAAAGAAACCATGTATACTTGTCTTGGGGGTTGAAATGGTATCTGCGGTTAAATGACATAAATCATACAGTATAAGATTGTGTTGCTAAATAAAAGTACAGTTTTTTGGAATACTCTGTACTATTCCCAACCAGATTATCATTATAGGTAACTACTCCCGATAATTTGGGTTTATTTATCCGGTTATCCTTTTTCAGCAATTGGAATAAATTGTTCAATCTCCATTTTAGTAAATAAATAGTTGGGAATGATAAAAAATATATCCCTAGAAGCATACTAGCACCAACGTACGATAAGCTAATTTTAAAAAGTTCATAATTTTACCCACATTCCTTAACATCGTGTTTGGTTCGTGGAATTCAGAAGGAAACAAAAAGATTTTCTTTTCTTTCTCACAAAAATGGAAGGAAAGTTATTCTCTCTTAGTTTTTTTTTTTCTTATTTTCTTTTCCTTCAATTTTCCTTATCTAATCAAACAATAAAAACCGGTTTCCACATCATTTTCTTTTCTTTTCCCTTTCAAAATTCCCTGAACCAAAATTAGTGTAAATGTGAAGTATTTTGCACACATTCCTTAGAGACTAGAGAGGGAGTATGAAGTTTAAAAACCTGTGTTCCACTAGAGAGGGAGTATGAAGTTTAAAAACCTGTGTTCCATCATCAAATTCCGTAGCAGTTGTTGAGAACTGGCACTCTGCTTGATCAACTTCATTAAAATCAGAGTCTTTCAATAATGCTGCAAACACAAATTTTACCAGGAACTCAATGATTTTAATAAAGAAAACTTACTCCATATATAATAATGCCTAATTAATACCAGATCATAAATAATTTGCTGCTTGATCACTTGACGGGCTCAACTTGAATGCTCTAGGCGACAAGTTCATTTCGCTTCGTTATGTAAATCTGCTCCTATAAGACAACTTCCTCGCAGACCATGCAATTATATTGGTGGATGCTAAAGAACTTCAGTCATATGATCACACTAATTCACAACCTCCATTTGGCTGACACCACCAGAGAGATCAAACTGCAAGTAGTCAAGAAATAGATCCAATCAAAATTGCTCTAGACACCCATAACTCAGAATTTGTATCTGGCAAAAATTTGTGCACAGTCTATACATTTTGTAAGCCACCCTCACGCTACAGTTCCATTGACGAAAGACAATACATAGCTCTCAAACTAGAAACACATTTCAACTAATAGTTTACCGTGAGGTTGTATGATGCTTTGACATGACCAATATTTTTAGTTGTGATTGTTGCTGTCCCCAATTGAGCAAGAGCTTCAAATGTAGGAGCAGCAATGTCCATAATTTTCCATGGGCTCCTGAAAAAAAGGTATGGCACTAAATTCCCAACATTATCCAAAGTATGGAAAAGCAAAAATCTTCATTAACATAGATAAACCTTTGATATACATATTCTATATCATCGGCACTTAGTTCAATCAGGAGATTGGTATTGAGAACTTCAGTGATTCCTATGGAAATGCATGACTTCCTGCTTTCTGAAATAAATTTATTGTTTTATGGCAAGAGAATGGAATCATTCTAACTAAAAAAATGAAAAGGCGTGCACCATAACTGGATGTTGGTTGATCCTCTCAAACCTTCCTTGAACACAGTAAGTGGCACCTGGTTTCTACCGATTCAATTTTGATCTGCATGATAAATGCAAAAATGAAATATATAATGTAATCACTGATATGGGTACAGTTCAAGAATGTGGTCAAAACATCCTAAAAGTTCCAAAGTTGGTTATGCAAGCAACTCCAATATGGAGTTGAGCAAAAATTAGGTTGTGAATTGAAGGCCTCAAAACCAACACCAATTTTGTTACACTCAAGTCCACCTAGAGTAAACCTAATTTGCACTGAAAAAAGGTAAACCTAACTCTCTACAGAAGCATCCACATGGAGTATTTGCTCCCTAGATTTTCAGGTTGACCTGGACCACCCTATGATAACACAGGAGAACAAAAGCTCTTCCGATTCTTAAGAAAAAATCAACAGATAAGTTGAACTGAAACACAACTTTCCAAGTGTGTGTAAACTCATTAGTACTAGAATTCAAACGTTGCCATAGAAAGTTCACAATAGGTTTAATTAATGAGAAGAATATACATGTCTTGGGAAAACAAGGTAGTGATCCAACAAAAGTCACTCTTAAAAATGTATCATGGGATGCAGCAGTCCTATTTCCAGGGCCAACAGTCACTTCATGTCCCAAGAAAAAGGAGATAACCATTTACGCATAGTGCATCAAGAGAAGGAAAATGTCACAAAAACTTGAGTGAAAAAGGAAAACTTCACATGTCATTTCACCCTTATATGTGATTTACTCCCCCCCCCCCACACACACACACTGAAGAATATGGGAAAGAGAATCTACTTCTACAATCTCACCTGCATCAAGCAATCAAATATATCTATGATGAATATACTTATCTACATGCAATCTAAACTAACAATCAAAAAGCCTTACCAATCAATCACCTGGAAACCGAAGACAATGAGCAGTGTTTATGTTCCCTTTCATCATCTTATCGACTAATTCACATGCACATATACATAGAGAAAGCAAAAACAACAAAAAAGTCAACAAATTGTTAACCATGCACTGCAATCTGTTGGAAATTTGGCATTAGAAGAGTTGAAATTAGAAGCTTACAAAAGTTTCCACAAGATGAAGGAATCATGCATTGTCCACCACAAGGAAAACAGATAGGCTGTACAGGCAGTGTTCAAGGAGATAAACAAATAACAAAATTTCATTATAATTGATTTTCATGATCATCAGCTAGCATAGAATAACTTTGCAAATTAACTTTGCAACTAGCATAGAACAATAAATAACAGCATTGTATTTCACAACAATTGATTTTCATGATGTAATTATGTAAAGCCAAGCCAGAAAAATGCAATCACTAACTAGTATAATCTTTCCAGTGACCAACATTATCAATTGGGTTGTTCTATCTAAATTTGAAGCATGTGACTTAACTGCATATTTGATAGTAGTAGCTTTTATGATTTCAACATACACCACCACCAACAACAACAGCAACACTAACAAACATGGTATAATTCGAACTCTATTGAGGATTTAAGAGCGGGAGGTGAAGACGTACGCAACCTTACCCCTATAAAAAACAGAGAAATTGTTCAACCTAACCTCATATTAATATGAAACAAACACTATGCAGAACTTGCTTGTAAAGTAATGTTGTGTGTGCATTCTGTAGAACATAAAAGAAATGTAACAAATTTCAGCAATTACTTTTTCATTACTAATCTAGTTACAATTTCCACACAAAAAAACGCACACCAGTATAACTATACAATGAGCTAGAGATCGATGCTGCTAGATTAAACTAATTAGTCGCAATCTCTTCCACTTCCATTATCTCCGCCACATAGAAGCCTAATTCCCACTCTGCTCAGGTTGACAAAATTACTGTCCACATAGTTGTTGTGTAAGTATTGTGCATGAGAGACGAATAAATGAATGATTACTAACAGAATGGCTGGGAACGGCTTGGTTTATGACGATCTTTCTTGTTGGTGCAATTGAGTTGTTGGTCTGAATCACAGTTGACAATATTTGAATTGAGGAAATAGATACGGTGTATGATGGATGGAGAGGAACTGAGGAAGAAACCGAAGAAGATGATTTGTTGTGCAAGCGGCTTCATCATGCGGCGTAGCGTAGTGTTTGGGCAACGGACATAGGGCCAAAAATTAGCACTGTGTATGTTTAAGGATTTTTAAAGTGATACTCCCTCCGTCCCCATTACAATATTTCCTTTACAAAACCAAGGAAGAATCAAATCAGTATTTTTTTCCCCAAATTACCCCCCAAATAGTATAGAAATGGGTGGGTAGGTGAAATTTTGACATTGAAATGATCAAGGAGAAGGAGGGTAAAAGAGTTCATTTAGTGTAAATGTAAACACTATGTAATTCTTTTTGGGACAAAAATAAGAAGAAATATTGTAATCTAATTGGGGACGGAGGAAGTATAAATCTAAGAAAATTTAGCTAAATATTATTAAAACATAGTGACTTTTCAATGTAATATCATATCTTTTTAATTTTCATTGTAGTATCATTGGTCATCGTTCATTAGTCATTGTTCAATTAAATGTCTATCATTACTAGACATTGTTACTGCTATTAGACATTATTTAAATACTATTTAAAAAATAATAAAATTTAAATACTATATTGAAAAATAACATATGTTTTAATACAGTATTATTTAGTGTAAATTTCACATAAATCTATTTTCTTTTATTTTTCTTCTTAATTCTTTTAACCAAACATAGTGTAATTATAATATAAGAAATCACTCTAAATAGGAGTCAAACATAGAAAAAGTGAGTATCAAAATAAAAGCTCCAATGTATATAAACATTTTACAATACTTTTTAATAATGTATATGGTTATTATTGACATTGTCAATACATTTTTACTTCAATTTCGAGAATAAAAATATAGAAATCTTATTTTAATATATTTTCAATGTTTTACTCTTGCTTTATTCTTATTCCCTAATAATAATGATAATACTTCGTCGGTCCCAATTTAAATTGCAAATTTTGACTTACAATGTTTGACTAAAATTATTTTCAAATTATTTTATATGAAAAATGCCATAAAAATAAAAAATAAAAATTATATACTCCATATTTAAAAACTATATCAAAGAATCTAAAAAATTAATGGTGACATGACAATAGTTATCTTACCAAATGACTCGAACAAGAAGACTCTCGCAACACCTAATTACACTTTTTCCTTTTATTTAATGTAAAAATAGCTTCAATAAGATGCGACTCTGGAATCCCAAAAGCCCAAAACCGTTAACCATGAACAAAGCTTACCACTCGAGGGGTTTCCCTCGTGTCCTTAAAAAAAACCATTCCGATCAAATGACCAGTCCTAATTGATACCCACACACATCTCTAAGCCTCGTAATATTTACAGACCTATTTACATGACCCTCGTAACATATTTACACTAGGCAAAAGGATCCTTTTGTTTTTATGTAACTCAATTTTCTCTTTCGTTTGGCCGATGGAAAATGTTCCAAAGTTCCCGGTCAATCTTCCTGCTGCTGCTGCTAATAATCAACTCTCTTCAAACCTTTTGTATTTACTTTCTTAAGTATACTAGGTCGTTTTTTTTCGGTAGGGGAAGGGGAATGGTTGTTTTATTCTTCATCAAGCCAGGGCAGGGATGCTGCAATTGCGCCGGTCACTGTCGAGGCAATCAAAACCCTCGATCCGGACAGCTGGATTGTTTCCAAAATTTGCCCTCACGCACCCACCTTTCCTGCCCGTGGAAGCCGACGGGGACAACACAACAATTGGTGAAGAAGTCGGGATTGTTTGAGGCGACGCGGGGGGAGTTTTGTGCTGCTGCTCATCCCCAAACCTCACATCCATAATTACTGGGTTAGAAACTCTTCTCGGCGGTGACCCACAAAAAAATGGGGGCGACGAGGCTACCTGATGTGGTCCACCTGTTTGCTCTGCACCACCATAACAACCCTGCACAAAGCGAGAGACTCAATTGACGGGTCACATTGAAACATGAAGATTCCTCCCTAAAATAAATAACGGATCTGGAAATAACAATGTGGTATAGTGAATGAAGAAGGCATAACCAGACTAACCTTGGTGAGAATGATATCCTCCAAAATATCAGCTACGGCCCTTGTATCAGAGCCTTCCTGCTGGTCGCTGCCCGCAAGAAAACAAACAATTTAAACCAAATGGAAGTTTATTTCCAATAACTTGTCATCCAAAAGAAGGAAACAAAACCACAAGGCTGAATAGAGATACCTGAAATGCAATCGGAAAGGTCTTACAGTGTTGTTGGCAGCAGTGTTGAGCTGGCCAAGACGACGAGGCTTAGGGCAAACCAGAGCGACTCTCTTGTCAGAAATCAATGAAACAGAGCTCTTCATCTCCTCAAGGGAAGCTACAGTACTTTGCTGGATTCCACAGTGAATCATAATTTTTTCCTTCTTTCTGATACTAGTAAAACTATTAACAAAAATGCTCCTGGACAAGAGCAGAGAACTTAGAGTAAATTTCCAAACAAAATTTATAGATCTAATGATACAAATACTAGAACTGAAATTCCAAAACTTATCACGTTATTGTTTTAATACTTCCATTACAGAACTTAGGAAGAGACAGCGGAGATTAGATCTGGTCAGAAATGTTGAGCAAACTGAAAGGTTAAAAGTAAGGGTGTCGACTTCCTTGACACGGTCAATAACAACACACTCGGATCTGTATATTTTAATCCAGCATATGAACACATAACAACAAAACAATCACAGATCTGTTTTGAAAGTATATGAAAACAGAAAAAAGTATATCTAAAACAAAAATAATAAAATCAGCTCCTTCAAATTTCATCACAGATCTGGACAAATTTCTAGCGCGCGGTGTTAAAAAAGTCAGAAGTGCAGTGATTGTTACAGGTAAGTGTTAAAAATTGAATAAACGATTCGATTAATCAATTTCATGGAGATCCAGAACACAAACTCGTAGCAATTGATCCGTACCTTTAGGCTTTCAAAGAACCAACAAAATAGCAGGAAATTAAACGATCAATAGACGATAAACACCAAATGAATTAATCACGTCTCAAAAAGTTTAGGAAGAATTTAATTTTAAGAATTTCATACAAACAGGAGAGCGAGAGAAGCACTCAATACCTGAGCTAACTGTACAAAGCACCTTGGTGCGTATGCGAACGAGAAAAAAAAATTCAAAGAGAGAGAAAGTAAGTAAAAGTTAGATAGAGAAAAAGAGAGGAAGAAATGGTCAGGTCTGAGACAATCCTAACTTACTGTACTGATGTTACGGAGTATTACTTCATTATGTTGTGTTTGGATGGAGGGGGTCAAGCCGAGACCTGGCAAAACAGAACCGGAATCGATTATCCGAACAGAAATATCCGAAACTAAAACCGGAATGATCCGAAAATGAAGATCCGATCTATAACCGAAAACCCGAAATGATCCGAACCGAAACCGAACTAAATAATTCATATCCGATTTAAATCCGAAACCGATTAGATCCGAAACCGATAATATCCGAACCGATTAAACCCGAAACCAATTAGATCCGGACCCGATAATACCCGAAATTGATAAAATCCGAAACCGATTAGATCTGAAATCGATAATATCCGAACTCGATTAGAACTAAAATCGATAAATTCAGAACTATGTTTACCTTTCAATAAGCATATTATATTTTTAAATTTTTACTTTTATTTTACCATTTGAACTAGTTACATTACTTGCTCATTTCCTCATAAAATGGATTATCTTCTTGAAAAAAAGTACAAATTTTATGCCCTGCTCATCATTTGAGCCTCCCTGTTCTCGTGATTGCTATGTAACTTACAAATAGCAAATCGAAGCAAACAGAGATGCAATCTAGTATCCTGGTGAGAGAATAATTTCTTGAAATAGTCCGAGAAGAAAAGACATTGCTCCAAATCTAGAAACACCAGAAGTTTGAAAGAAAACCTTGTAAAAATTTAGAACATATGCAAAAGATGTTGGAAGACTTAAAAAATGATACAACACAACAAAATCAACAAAAAAAGAGTTTGAGAAAATTGTTGCTCTCGAAGAAGACAAAGAATCTGAGACTGATTATGAAACAAAACTTAACAGTGTCTCAATTCTTCAATATCAAGAGTGTCCATTACCACTGTGTATCAAAAACAAAATAATGCTTGCAGAATTGATTAAAAGAGTTAATGTGGTGATGCTTCCTGAAAGCCCTCCAAGTCAAGTGAAACAAGAGGTGGAACCCGATCATGTCTTGGAACCGCCTGCACCAACTGCACCAGAGAAGTTGGAGGAATTCATGTCTTTACCTCTAAACTTGTGTTGATAACACACTTTTTAAAAACTTGTTCTGGAGCAATATGAGCTCATTGTCAAACTCCTTGATTCCGATTCTGATGAGTCCAAGGAATCTATATACGAGAAACTAGCCTCTGATGTGTTTATAGAAATTCTCGCCACTAAAGTATCACTGGAACAGACGAAACTTTCTTTCATTCCCTAACTGATGGGTATTACCATCCTTACCCGAAGGAGAAATATAGTCAAACTAGTGTTTTCTTCGTGCTTCGCAGGGACTCGTATATTTTTAGATAAAATATATCTAAAAATTTTATATTTCATTTTTAAAAAATGTAAAATTAAAAATAAATTAGAATATGTATTGAAGTTGATATGCTACACTGCACTATAAATATATAAAACATGTAAATATATTTTATATGTATACGTGTGTACACATGAAAAATTTCTTTTGATATTTCTTGAGTGTACACATAAAATTGTAATATTCTTATGTAAAATATATCTATAAAATTTATATGTCATTTTAATAAAATGTGAAATTAAAAATAAATTCATGCTTTATAGGGATGGGCGCGATCCGTGACGGTCCGTGATACTACCAGAACCTATCAAGAAAAAGTATATATATGAATTTTATATTTCCTTTTTAAAAAAATTTGAAATTAAAAATAAACTCGTGTTTTAAATGGACTTGTATATTCTTATGTAAAATATATTTAGAAATTTTATATTTCATTTTTAAAAAATTTGAAATTAAAAATAAATTTGAATATGTAATTATATAAAACATGTAATTATATTTTATGCATCTGTGCACATATGAAAAAAAATCTTTTGACCTACGAATTACTGACTCCTTAGATTTCTTATTTCGGGGATCTATTAATATTTTTTGACTTAATGGTTGAACTCTTTTCAACCGCGTGTATATCTATTATTTTTTAATATACTTTAACTCACCCAAAATATAAATTTTTTATTGTTAACTTTTAAATATAATTTTTTTGTTAGAGTTTTAAAAATTACTTTTTTAAAATTTCAAACTATTTTTATACACGAAATTTACTAATTTTGAAATAGTCACAAAATAGATTTAATAGTTACATAGAAAATAAGTTATCAATATATCCAAAATATAATAAGATAAACATACAAACCTTAATACATTTGTGAATTGAATAAAATCATGAACATGTCAACTTAAATTAATAATTTTAAAATCAATCATGCACTAAAGCAATCTTTACTTGGTATTTTTAAATGATAACATGCATATATTGAAATAAAAAACAATTATTCTAAACTTCTCTCAAAAGACTCAAATTATATATAGTCTGTATAAAAATATATTTTACAAACATTATACTTAGAAAGTAAAAAGAAATAAAATTGTGTACACACTTTTTTTATTTTTGTGAACATGACACTTTAATATTCAAATGTTTTTATGTTTTTTATATTTAACATCAATAATTGAGTAGCCATGTGGTATCCAAGTGGGCAAATGAAGAGATGACATCTTTAAAGCCTAGATTATGTGGCGTGACACATGGCGCAACCACATTTAATCTGCTCTACTTTATATATATACATATGATAATTAAGCTGGGACAAAGAGCACCACTCATCCAAAGAGCAAAAGTCGCACGATGAAGGAAAACATGTTTTTGAGAGGGTTTTTGTTTAGTCTCTTCTTACGTCGTTTTGTCTATTCTTGATTCTTTATTTAAATTCAAACCTAAAAAATCGTTAACACCCCGTTGCATGGTCTTCTTTTTCATTTTTTAAAAAGCGTCACATTTAAACTCATGTAAATTTTTGCCAATTCACCCATACAGGGTAGTCTACCAAATATGAAACATTTTAAAGATATTTTGATAAAAAGTTCTTCGAGTGTGGATTAATATGGGGTATATTACAAAGTTTTTAACCAAAGTTAATATGTTATACTACGGGTATCTAATTATTTGTAAATTTTTATTTTGTTTCTCCCTATTTGTTAAAGTTTATAGAGACAACTATTATTAATTAATATACTCAATATTACTCTATATTTTTAAAATTATATAATTTTTTAAATTTAATTACTACCTTTGTCCCAAAATAATACTACACAGTTTCCATTTTTTGGATTTCTCAAAAGAGAATCTTCCTTCTATTTTTTGTAAAGAAAATCATTTAAACATTTAAATTTTAATCCATATTATTTGTAAAACTTAATTATTCAAAACTACTCCGTATCTTAAAATTAATTTATATTATTGACTTAAGTTAATTTTAAAAAATAAACTTGTAAATTTAGCGAATTGGCATTTGTACCTAGAGTTATTTGGAATTAACCGATGCTCTTCTAAGAGTTTTTTACTTGCGTAAAACATTTTTTTACACGCACCAATACATTTTTTTGCTTCCAAACATTTCATTGAGAGATGTCAAAAAGAAAAAAAATCCCCATGGATGGATTGTCCAAAAAGAAAACACATACAAAGAAAATGATGTGGAAGGAAGAGAGTATAGAAAGAGATTGGCGAGTTTTTTTGGATCACCATTGGGAGTGCTCTCAGCGGAACATAGTACTTGCTTTTATCTTCTTCTCTATCATTTTTGTTCGCGGTTTCAGGTTCATCTTCATCACCTTCTACATGCTTTCTCTTCTTCTCCTTCTTCCCTGCATTAACATTTTCATCTTCAGTCTATGGCTCCACAGACTCAGCTTGATCCTTCTCCTTTTCACCTTTACTTTCTTTCCACCTGCTTCAGCTTCAGGTTCCACACCAGTGTCCTCTGCAACAGCTGCCTTCTGCTTCTTCTTCTTCTTCTCCTTCTTCCGTTGTTTAACATTTTCATCTTCCTTCTGTGGCACCACAGCCCCAGCTTGATCCCTCCTTTTCTCCTTTACTTTCTTTCCATGTGCTTCAGCTTCAGGTTCCACACCAGTGTCCTCTGAAGCAGCCGCCTTCTGTTTCTTCTTCTTTTCTCTGCTGCCAACATAAGGCTCCTCATGCTTTCTCTTCTTCTCAATCCTTTTGCTGGGGGTTTCAGGTTCATCTTCATCAGCTTCGGCATGCTTTCTATTCTTATTCTTCTTCTCCTTCCCTGCTTTAACATTTTCATCTTCATTCTGTGGCACCACAACCTCAGCTTGATCCTTCTCTTTTTCTCTATTACTTTCTTTCCATCTGCTTCAGCTTCAGGTTCCACACCAGTGTCCTCTGCAGCAGACATGAGGATCATGTCATCTGCTTGACGCCTTCTGCACCAGTGTCATCTGCTTCATCTTCTGCTTGACGCCTTCTGTTTCTTCTTTTTCTTCTTTTCTTTGTTGCCAACATGAGGATCCTCATGCTTCTCTTCCATTTCCTCGTCTTTGTATGCGGATGGCACAGTCTTTCCAAGGGTGGAATCAGCTGCCGGGTTGTAGGTCTGCACACATTAAAAAAAACAAAGTATATCAATGACTTCATCAATGAATACCAAATCTTGCCCCCCCCCCCTCTACGGACTCCGCAAAATTAAAAGAGGTAATTGTCTCCCCCCTAACTAAACAAGCACCTGACATTTATCAAAGGAAACCTAAATAGACACATAAAGTTATCATAAATATCACCAACCTCCTCTGCCAATTGAAAATCTTCAACTTCATTAAAAATTGTTAAAAGTTTCGGCTCTCTCTTCAAAAGAACCATAAGACTACTGCAAATCACAACCTTTAATGAGTGATATAAATTACAGATTTATTGCAAATTACAACTTATCAAAATCCTTAATGAGTGATATAAATCACAAATTTACTGCAAATCACGACTTAGTACCTGTACTTACTAATGTAGAACACATCCCAATGCTCTCGAGCCATCGCATACCAAAAAGTGGGAATAACGTCAGACAGCTTTTTGTCCATGATTTCCATCAGTATCTCATCCAAACTAAGACATCGTTTCTCTGAAGTAGTTGATGTCTTTTGGAACGAGCGCAACCCATTCAACTGAAAGATGATGGCATACTTGGACAGTAGGTACATGGCTTTGATGGCTTTACTCGACCGTCTAATCATTCTTTCTAGTTGCTCATCAGCTTTTGTGATCCCCCAGATCCCCAAGTGCCAACCTCAAACCAAAACTAGAGGTATCTATCAGAGAAATATTAACGACCTTAAAAATGTAACAAATTTGATCCTCCCTATTGAAAATCAAAGGATTCTTCAATATATAGTAGCAAAGTTTCCTGCAAGTTAAGAAAAAACATAAAAAAATCAATCATACAAAATGATGTGTTTTTTGGTCATTTTTTGCAAGAAAAAAAAAACAATTGCAAACCTTAAAGTCTCCCTGTCCTCCATCCCTAAAGCAAATTCGCAAAGCTTGATAAATTTTTGTATGACAATGGGGTGAAGTTCGGGCTCAAATGACACAAAAAGACGGACAATATCTAGGACATCCGTAATCACATCTTTGATATCACCTAAAGAACTCACAATTAAAGCTTTGCTTTGAGACATTACTGTAAACTGTATATACGGAGTATGTTTTTTGTTTTTCTGCACGTATAAATGTAGTGGGTTGCATGTTTTTTTTGCATATTTGGTGCCAAAGCTGATGTACTTTCATGTCATTTCAGAATGGATGCTATGGAAGAGCTGAAAGAACTTGTCGAGTGCTTCAGGGTGTTGTCGCCAGAGCTTATATCATGGACGCTGGCAAATAAAAATGATATTTGGGAGCACAATCCGAGAATGAAGCTTTCTGAAAGAGCTCGCAAAATATTGAGGTAACATATAGTTGAATATATAATGTATAAAATGAGGCTATTCTGTTGTTCAAGTGGCGCTTTATTTCATTTCATGTTCTAGAAAAATATTTGCGGTCGGCTATCAATCAATATGTGCATATGGAGGGTCATACCACTCTTTAGGAGATTTTAAAATTGACAATGATGGAGCTGCATTCTTCCTTGAGAACAAGTTTATCCAAGAAGGTATATGATTGTTTTTATGTTTGTTTCAAGTGGCTTTAGCAGGTTTTTGTTCCATTGATTTGTTTTCTTTGTTTTGGGTAGCTTCTGGAGAAGATGTCCAAGCCCCTATAAGGGTTGCATTAAATATAGTCGACCTTTTTTGGCATGTTGCACCTGGCAAGCAAGATCCCCCCATTGAAGTCAAGAACTTTAGGGAGCTTTGTTCTCTTGCCCTAAAGAAGACTGACGAGATGTCTATCCGGTATTTTTCCTGACCAACTACAAGGAGTTACAAGTCACACTCTAAAAATCAATCTTTACCTGTCCTATCTTTAGTCCATAGAAAACCATGAAAATTGCTAGTTGTAGTTTTTTCATTTTAGCTCAAGCATTTTACATTTTTGGTTGGCATGGAATCTTCCGTAGTGAGAATTTGTGATATAAGATTTTCAATTTCTCTCTTTTTGTAGGAAGCTGTGTTATTACATTTTTAAAAATCCGATCGTGTTTGATCGAGGGAATGAATTATGCTTTCTACTGAAGATGTGGAATTTGTACATGATGGACGAGGGTAATGCTAAGGCATCAAAACAACATTTTGGTGATTTTACAAAAGCTCCTGAACTTTCAGACTACATAATGAGGATTGAGCCCGAGGACCAAGAATTGGATTGCTTAAGGAGATTTGATGCTCCCGGAAGGAGTGGAGATGATTGGCTAAATATACCAATCAATGAGAGGTATGAGAAGGCAGATTCATTCCATTTATCATGGATGCCATTCGTCACTTTCAGAAAGTCGGGAGCAAAATCAAACAGAGGGGTTCCCACTTGTTATGCCTCGATGAGCTTTTAGAGATGATAGTGGATAAACACTATGGAGACGTAATTCCTAGAATGTGGCTGGCAATGGCAGAGAAACATTGGGAATCAGGATTTTATATCAGTAGATTCAGGTACTAACTAACATTGGCAGACCATGAAATTTTATAACTGATTAATATTGGCAGACCATTCACTTTTATAATGTATTAACAAGATTTCATTACTTTTTTTGGATGTAGTACTCTTCATGATCTATGTGAGAAAGGTCTAAAAATCTTGTCTATTTTTGACGAGATTGTGGATAGATTCTTTTTGCTAGATAACATGCCAATTCATCATGCCCAAGATGATTTGAGTATTGAAGAAGGCCGACTTAAGAAGGATTTTTCAAATTTGTCGATGGATTTGATATCGTGGGTTGTAAAGAATAGACCTTCCATATGGCAATACGACCCCGATCACCGGACAATAATTGGGTTTTCTGATGCGGTTAAAATTATTTTAAGGTAATATGTTGTTCTTTAAAAAATAAGAATATAATGCAACACATCATTTTTTAATTTTTTGATGTTATAAACCTCATATGACGCAGGAGGATATTTGCAGTGGGTTATAAATCTGTATTTCTCAAAGGAGGAGCATATAAGCATTTAGGGCAACTGCAAATTATTGATGGAAGACCGCTCTATATGTTGAACGGTTTTGTTCCTGAAGAATGATATCAACCGTAAACTAACCTTCAGGAACAAAACCGTTCAACATATAGAGCGGTCTTCCATCAATAATTTGCACTTGCCCTAAATGCTTGTATGCTCCTCCTTTGAGAAATACAGATTTATAACCCACTGCAAATATCCTCTTGCGTCATATGAGGTTCATACATCAAAAAATTAAAAAATGATGTGTTGCATTATATTCTTATTTTTTAAAGCACAACATATTATTTTAAAATAGTTTTAACCGAATCAGAAAACCCAATTATTGTCCGGTGATCGGGGTCGTATTGCCATATGGAAGGTCTATTCTTTACAACCCACGATATCAAATCCATTGACAAATTTGAAAAATCCTTCTTAAGTCGGCCTTCTTCAATACTCAAATCATCTTGGGCATGATGAATTGGCATGTTATTTAGCAAAAAGAATCTATCCACAATCTCGTCAAAAATAGACAAGATTTTTGGACCTTTCTCCAATAGATCACGAAGAGTACTACATCCAAAAAAAGTAATGAAATCTTGTTAATACATTATAAAAGTGAATGGTCTGCCAATATTAATCAGTTATAAAATTTCATGGTCTGCCAATGTTAGTTAGTACCTGAATCTATTGATATAAAATCCTGATTCCCAATGTTTCTTTGCCAGCCACATTCTAGGAATTACGTCTCCATAGTGTTAATCCACTATCATCTCTAAAAGCTCATCGAGGCATAACAAGTGGGAACCCCTCTGTTTGATTTTGCTCCCGACTTTCTGAAAGTGACGAATGGCATCCATGATAAATGGAATGAATCTGCCTTCTCATACCTCTCATTGATTGGTATATTTAGCCAATCATCTCCACTCCTTCTGGGAGCATCAAATCTCCTTAAGCAATCCAATTCTTGGTCCTCGGGCTCAATCCTCATTATGTAGTCTGAAAGTTCAAGAGCTTTTGTAAAATCACCAAAATGTTGTTTTGATGCCTTAGCATTACCCTCGTCCATCATGTACAAATTCCACATCTTCAGTAGAAAGCATAATTCATTCCCTCGATCAAACACGATCGGATTTTTGAAAATGTAATAACACAGCTTCCTACAAAAAGAGAGAAATTGAAAATCTTATATCACAAATTCTCACTACGGAAGATTCCATGCCAACCAAAAATGTAAAATGCTTGAGCTAAAATGTAAAAACTACAACTAGCAATTTTCATGGTTTTCTATGGACTAAAGATAAGACAGGTAAAGATTGATTTTTAGAGTGTGACTTGTAACTCCTTGTAGTTGGTCAGGAAAAATACCGGATAGATATCTCGTCAGTCTTCTTTAGGGCAAGAGAACAAAGCTCCCTAAAGTTCTTGACTTCAATGGGGGGATCTTGCTTGCCAGGTGCAACATGCCAAAAAAGGTCGACTATATTTAATGCAACCCTTATAGGGCTTGGACATCTTCTCCAGAAGCTACCCAAAACAAAGAAAACAAAACAATGGAACAGAAACCTGCTAAAGCCACTTGAAACAAACATAAAAACAATCACATACCTTCTTGGATAAACTTGTTCTCAAGGAAGAATGCAGCTCCATCATTGTCAATTTTAAAATCTCCTAAAGAGTGGTATGACCCTCCATATGCACATATTGATTGATAGCCGACCGCAAATATTTTTCTAGAACATGAAATGAAATAAAGCGCCATTTGAACAACAGAATAGCCTCATTTTATACATTATATATTCAACTATATGTTACCTCAATATTTTGCGAGCTCTTTCAGAAAGCTTCATTCTCGGATTCTGCTCCCAAATATCAATTCTATTTGCCAGAGTCCATGATATAAGCTCTGGCGACAACACCCTAAAGCACTCGACAAGTTCTTTCAGCTCTTCCATAGCATCCATTCTGAAATGACATGAAAGTACATCAGCTTTGGCACCAAATATGCAAAAAAAACATACAACCCACTACATTTATACGTGCAGAAAAACAAAAAACATACTCCGTATATACAGTTTACAGTATTGTATCAGAGCAAAGCTTTATACTTCATCTTCTACGTTACCTCACACTCCCAAACTCTCTCTATTTCTCGCCCTACAATGGTTCAATATAACAACCTTGTCTCTTAGCACCATATGTATGCATATATATATATATATATATATATATATATATATATATATATATATATGTAGGCATATATATGCCTACATATGGTTCAATATAACAACCTTGTCTCTTTGCTTCTGTCTAAAGCAAAAAATCAAATTCAGCAAGGCATACCAATTTCACTGACTAGTAAGGAGAAGGGGGGAGCTTGTGGAAGGGAGAAAATTCAAACATTGAAGAAGTCTAAGCTGTTTCACCCACAAAAAGAAAAACCATAAGGGTGCTTGCAAAGGTACTATCAGAATAAAAAGTAGCATTCATAATATGGTCAAAGCTAGAACAATCAGAGCTCATACGAATCCAATCAAGCCATACTTAACAGAGGATAACAAGGTTAGCCGTTTAGAGTTTTGTCTTAGCAAATTAGTGCCTCCAAGTGTAGAAAGTAATCCAAAGTTTAAAGACTTGTACAACTACGTTCATGTCGATGAGAAGTGGTTTTAGATGACTCAGGTAACCCAAAACTATTACATTCATGCTCACGAAGAAAACAACTTGCACCGAACCATACAGCTTAAGAAATTCATCACAAAAGTGATATTCTTAGCTGCATTAGCTAGACCAAGGTGAGCCTCTATTTGATGGGAAAATAAGAATTTTCCCTTTCATTATTACTGAACCAGCTGATAGAAAGAGCAGAAATAGGCCACGAGGGACTCCTGTAATGAAGCCTATTTCATCCGTAAACAAAGAAGTGTATAGATTTTTCTTAGTGGACAAAGTAATCCCTGCAATCCAACAGAAATGGCCTAGAGATGAAAGTAAGAAGATTACATGCAACAAGATAATGCAAGACCACACATATCCATCAATGATGTTGAATTTCACAGAGTAGCCAAGGCTGATGAGTTTGATATTCAACTAACCAACCCCCAAACAGTCTAGACTCGAATGTCATTGACTTGGGATACTTCAGAACAATTCAGTCATTACAGCAATAAAAAAAAATGTAAGAATGCAGGTGAACTTGTTGAGGCAGTTAAAGAATCATAGAAACAATTTGATCCAAAGCTATCAAACTATGTGTGGCTTAGCCTCCAATATTGTATTGGGGGTGGGGGGGGGGATAAAAGTCTTAGGGTCCAATGCATATAAATCCCCCATGTTGGGAAGAACACCATTCAAAAGATTGGTGAGCTACCAAAGGCAGTTACAACTGACCTCGCAACTATGGATAGAACAGAATACCAGGTGTCATTTTTCGAAGTGGAATGGAGTTTACACACCCATGGAAGTGCACAGCATCTAACAGGAGACAGAAAGTGTGCCCTTTTTTATGATAGTAAGCTTAAAGTTTTTGGGACATAAAACATGGCTTTTTTGGGATAGGAACCTTGCTGTTTTTGGACATAAAGCATGGCTTTTTAAAGATAGAAAGCATGGATGTTTTTAGGATAAAACCTTTAAGTTTTTTGAGGCATTAAGCATGTGGCTATTTTGGGACAGAAAGGAAGGCAGTTTTTGTACAACAAGCATGTCAGTTTTTTTGGAAAGCTTGTAGTATTTGGTAAAGAAAGCCTGGTAGCTTTTGTCAATGTACTTTTGCTAATTGACACCTAGAATATGTCATTTTCGTAAAGAATGTATTCCCTTGTTGTACTCGTGTAAACAAAGCTAGTCAATAAGACTAACAAAGTATTAAGGGAAATTTTAACAAAGCACCCGTGAAAATGGGCTGCACTAAAAAAATGGGTTTTTTCAAAATTTTAAATGGGCCCAAGGCATCAAGGCGAGGTAAGGCGAGGTAAGGCAAGGTAAGGCGAGGAAAGGGGATGCCTAGGCGAGCGCCTGGTCGCCTTAAGGCTTTCTAGGCGAGGCGAGCAAACAAGGCGTCCCAGCGCCTTATCGCCTAGGCGACGCCTTACAAACTATGTTTGTATGTCATAGAAAATATTACACATTGTTAGTGGTACATGACTACATGTGTGACGGATACTATCATTATATGCCTCGTTATTCTTATCAAATGCTTCGCAAATGATTTTAAAAAGGGCCTTTGCAATTGTGAGTACTCAGGGTAGGATTTTTGACCTTGGTATCCAATCTTTTCAAAAACCATTCTTACAAAATGATTCAAGTGACATGAACAACTCCATATGTGACATACATGCAATTAATTGCATCATAGACCTCAAATCCCCTTCCAATCACATTCCTTAACAGAGTAAAAACCTAAAACTGAAATACTCAGGTTGTTAAGCATGAATCATACAACCACCAAAAATCAGCTCGGTTTCTGGGACAAAGGTGACACAGGGGTCTACAGGGATAAATCTGAATCAGATGCCAAAGGAGAAACTTTTGATGCTGCAGAATTGTTGATTTGCATATCCACCATCTCCACTTCTGGGATGACGGAGACACATGCGTTACCAGAGGAGACCTCCGATTCAATTGTCATAGGAGAAAATATAGGGTTTTGATACAAAGAGAGAATGAGGGTAGAAAGTGAAGTGTGGATCGTAGAAAGTTAGTGGACAAACTCGAGACGGAGAGAGTATATACATACATAAACACACACACACATATATAAATAAATAAATAAATAAGTATATGTGTGTGTATAAGAACAGACATTAAATGATAATAAATATTAATACTAATAATTAGTATTATAAGAATAATAAAAAATGTTGAAATGAGTAAGTGATTGCCTAGAATATTATACCACTTGACACTATTCGAAAGTGTTTTCACAATTCATAAACCTACCCAATGCTATATTCACACTACCAATAACCAAAGATCTACACTTCAGCTTCTACTTCAACCTCACCTACCCAAACTATCTCTCTCTCTTTCTCTATATCTGGCCCCACAATGGATCCATTTAATAGCATTGCTTCTCTTTTTCCACTGAGGCATTTTCACAAACATGATAGTTGCTACATATAAATATACTTATTGAGGCATCTATAATATCACCATTGGAACATATTTCTACCAACCTGACATAGTTATTTAAGGCGTAATGCGCACCAATGCGCAAAGGGCTTCTAGCGCCTCGATGCGCGATGCGCATCTAATGCGCGCGCATCACGAACACGATGCGCATATGTAGGCACAAGTAGCATAGCATCTCTACATAAGCAATAACACACATAGGATGTTGAAAAGCATATGAAAATTTTAGAAAACAACCAAAAATCAAATTCAAACAGTACCATATGCAAATGAAAAAAAACCAAAATGCAACTTATGAATCAAAATCAAATTCAAACATTACCATATTCAAACACCAATGAATAAAATACATCAATTTAATAAATAAATTGCAATTAACTAACTAATGAAATTGATAAAATACAACAATTTAATCAATGAATAAAAAATTGATGAACAGATTGCAATTAAATAACAAATGAAATTGATAAATTACTGCTGTTTAATCAATGAATTAAAAAAAAGCAACTATGCATATTTCACAGTAGTGACGAAGAGTAACTAAAAGAGAGGCAGAAGAGAGTTTTTCGAGTTTGAAGTTTATTTGATAAAAAAAGCAACTAAAAAAGAATAAACCAACTTGAGATAGCTTTGAGACTAAGAGTGTGCTGAGAATGGGGTCTGTGGTAGTCTAATGAAGTTCCAGCGGCTTTTGAGACTTTCGAGGTGTAGGAGGAAAGAGTTTCGATGCGTTCTAGAGGTAAGCGTCAACCATAATTCTTACGGGAGGACTACTTATAAAATACCTTATTAAAAAGTAAATAAAAAAGCTGTTCGTTCATGATGCGCACATTATTGCGCCTCGCCTCGCATCGCATAAGGCGCCTATGCGCGATATTGCATGCGCCTCAAGAACATCGCGCACATCAAGGTCAGTGATGCACTAAGGGCTGCGCTTCGTGCGCATCGCGCCTCAGGCGCGCTTTTCACAACTATGCAACCTGATCATGTACACATGTAGAAAAACAAAAGATCAAATACTTTATATTGTCTTTGAACAAAACTTTACAAGTCAGCTTCTACTTCAACCCCACCCATCCAAACTCTCAATCTCCCACCCTACAATGGTTCCATATTACAGTACTTCCACTGAGGCATTTTCACAAACATGATATTTGCTACATATAAATATACTTCAACTCTTCTCTATTGGAATATATAAATCCACTTGGAAGGGAGAGAACACGAAGAAGACAGTACTTCCACTGAGGCATTTTCACAAACATGATATTTGCTACATATAAATATACTTCAACTGCTACATATAAATAACAGTACTTTCACAAACATGATATTTGCTACATATTAGTATACTTTAACTCTTCTCTATTGTAACATATAATACACTTGGAAGGGAGAGAACAGGAAGAAGATAGGTTGCAGGAAAATTAGTACACATATCTCTAGTCTTTTCACACACTATGCCCTTAGGGCTTTGAATCACAGAATATGGGAGAACAATTGCACCAAACTGAAGGGAGGGAGGGAGAGATACGCAATTAGGTTGCAGCGAACAGAAAAAAGAGGGAGACTAAATGGAGAGAGAGAGAATTACGAATTAGCTGAGGTTAGGGTTATTTCTTAGCTGTGTGTCAGGCTTTGAAGCCTATCCCATAATAAACACTTCAGGAATTTTGAAAGTGGAAATCGGTCCTGAGACCAACTAACGGGACTTTTCCCCCCTTTCCTATCTATTACTTGCTTTATGTATTACAGTGATAAAATTAAAAAAACCTACACATTTGTGTATTCTATGATATGTGTCTTGAATTAAATTTTAACTATGATTTATAAAGTTACAAAATAAAAAAAATAGTGAAGCCCTTGACAAGTGAAAGTTAAAATAAAAAAAAACCTTTTGTGAAATGAAATTGAAATTAAAAATAAATAAATGAGTGAAATTTGAGGGGAAAAATTGAAATTAAAAATAAATCAATAAGTGAAATTTGTTTTAAAGTTGCTATGTTACATCGCCGATATACAAAACTAGTAAATTTAATACGCGCGTGTACACATAGAGGGGAACTTCTTGAATTAATCTTAGGTGACTCCGTTGTATTTCTCAATTTTGGAGATTGAGTGATAAGTATAGAATAGATATGGATAACGTCATAATTTTTTGGGTTTTAAAATATGTTGCAATATTGAAAATATATTAGAAATAATGATTATTTAAGTTAGAAAGTGAAGGGTTATAAAGCACAAGGTTTTATAAAATACAATATAAATAATGTTTATCATTCTCCTAAATCCAAAGCCCAAAAGTGCAAAGAAAGAAAGCATTAGCAACAACTAGACAGGAGTAGAATATTATTGGTATTTAAAATCAAATCATTGCTTATACCAGAAATCTGTTGAGAAACTCTATGGAGTTCTTGCAACAAGAGATAGCAACAAAGCTAATACTCTTTCAATTGCATACCTGTGTGCAGGAGAATGACATTTGTCTTGACTTTCCAACTCCGAGCCAATGTAACCCTTACCTTTTAAATACACTACTATGAACTAGGCAAACCACCACCCCTGACATTAAAGTTGATCATCGGTAGATGGCTATGAAATATGCACATATGAAGATTGCATATTAAAGCAATTCATATATTGTATTTATTGTAATGATCCTACCCACGCATGAATCCTGGATATACTCAATTCCCGGAATACTTGTGGTCAGTGAATTCTAAAAACAAAGTACTCACAGACAAAAGACCACCCTTTTTTCCAAGGATTCAACAAACCACCAAAACACAACACTCATCATGTGGAGGATCCTTTTTGTTTCTTACGAACCCGGTTTCAATTTCCTACTGCATGCAAGAGGTATACATTAGGAATAGTAATATCTTCTTCAAGACAAAGTAAAATTTCTTTAACCTCCAAATTTCGTCATGCACCTCCAAATTTCTTGAAGGATATTTCTTCCAACTTTACTCTTTATCTTTCAGCGAGTTCATACTTCTACTGGCACCATGTGACACTGCCACAGCACCAGGGCCTACACGCCAGTGCCTTCCTCCCCATTAGCTACCTCCTGCACAGCATCACCAAGCCCTTCAGAAGTTAGAAGCCATTTCAATTCCGTTTCTATCATCAGAAATTGAAATTATACCCATATTTGAAATCTTAAAGCAATTCATCACAAAAGTTAAAAGGATTACTAAAGCCCATGTCAAGCGAAGAAGTATGAAGGGGACCGGAACAAAGCTTGCCAATATTCTGAAAGATGGAATCTGATTGGGAAAGGACAACTTCACGAAATGAGGTAAAGGGGCAGATGTGCCATTGGAAGGCATCAATTCTTCCAGCATTCACATCATATACACCTGTTCTCCACTGTGAGAACATGCAAATTATTTTACCGCCTCCAATCCATCAAGAAGACAGCTATAAAGACATGTAAATACATGCGAAAGGAGTAATAATAATCCCAAAGATAAAAGTGGCAGAGCCACTAGAAAGTTTTCGGTTTCAGGCAGCTAGATGATCATTTGTATGACAAAGCAAGTTTGAATTTAAAATTGGGAAAAAAAGTTAAGCCTGAGCCATCAGAGCTATCAAAGATACCTAGAACCACCATCATTATCACTCCGGTTCATCCTAATTTGAATTCAAGAAAATGAATTCTTAGAGACATCTCATTTATATCACCCTACTTTAGTCTTTACAAAGTGTGTTCACCTTTTATTAAACCGCTTACCACTCTTTACAAACTGCATACACTTCTTAGTGAAATAATTTCAGAGAACCAAGACACATTGTGTTCAGAAAACTTAACTCTTTTTACCGCCAAACTCTGAGGTTATAAACAAGCTGAGTACAAAAGAAAACCCCAAGAACGAAAGGGGCGAAACATCCATAAACTTCCCACGCCCTCTTGGCATTGGTTTACACGTAGACATCCCACATAAACTTCTCACATCCATAGACATCTCATCCATAAACATCCATGTTTCCGAGTGCACAGAAAGTATGCAAACTTCATCACGAAATAGGATGTAGCAATGCAGGTGCTCCACTACCATTTCCATTGCCACTGTCACTAGCACTGTACATCTGAACAGTCTCTATGAATTTGCAACTGCTGCAAAATGATGTCGTTCTCAGAAACATAACAAAGACAGAGAGGGAGGGAGAGAGGGAGGGAGAGAGAGAGAGAGAGAGAGAGAGAGTACCTTGATCACATGTATGCTAACAAAATTACATTCGCACACCCTTTCAAGTTATCAACTATAGCCATTCATCAACCCGTAAACATGTCCGGGTGTCCTCCACATGTGAAATCTGAAATTCAAGATAGATAGGCATAACCTCAACAATTGGATGACTACTCACACTGTTATCATGGAAGACAGCCCTAGAGTAAGACTACTAACATTACGTGGAGAGTTGAGTCTGAAGATCTGACAGTTGCATCTTCTATACAAACATACATGGCCAAAGAAATGAAAAATTGCCTAACAATAGGACTCTGGTTACAAAGCTTGACCAATGATAGCTGAAGACATGCACAAAGGTGGAAATTCAATGGATTCTGCATCCAAAAGAAGCAGATAGAAGTGCTCACGAAGGAAAGGAGGAATTGAATAGGAAGGCTAAAAATAAGAACACAATACTCAAAGCACACATAACATGTATGATCGCCCTGTATGGGCTCTTCATTTAAACATATAACATGTGCATTACAGCATTAAGTGCTAGTGACTTTGGTCAAATTACCTATATTTAAGCTGTTTCTGACCTTTGCACAGACCACTTTATCATTTGAAGTATAAGTAAATCCCAGACCATACCAACCCATCGCACTGAGAGAGGAAGTGTTCCCAACTCAATAATGAACACAATAAAGAATTAAGCATCCAAAGTGTAACAGCTGCTGAACTACCTAGAATCTGCACCCCACAACACAAGCACCAATGAAAAGCAGAGTCTAGAGTAAAAAGCCCTAATTCAGAAGCAACAAAAACCTAATATATGTGAACTCAAGCCCAGACATTTGAACCAGTAAAAACTGCGAATTATTGCATTCTTAATAACATGAAATAGGAAACAATGTGCTGATTTTGGCACAAATAAGAAACCCAAAAACTTTATTAGCATCTTGCGGCACAGTTATCCAGCATGTAAATGCATAACAAGAGTCTTTGCCATTGCAGGTCCGTAACAAGCCGCCTGTACAGTGCCAACCAGTGGCGAGCCCAGAAATCTTTGAGAGTGGTGTCGTTATTTACTTCATTAGAATCACTTAATTCAAATTGCAATAACTATAATTAATAAAATCACGATATCATATACTCCCTCCGTCCCAGAAAGAATGCCACGTTTACTATTCTGGTCTCTCGATAACTTTTATTTGTTTACTCGTTTTGGTTGACCATTTGATAAAATAAAATATTCTTGTCGCATCTTGTTTTGTAGAACTTTTCATATACTTTTGAATGATGTAATTTTTACTTTTTATTACTCTATCAATTTGAAATTAAAGTAATTTTAAAAGAGGTGATATTTTGCACGTCGTTCGAAGTGTTGCAAATAAATTGGGACGGAGGGAGTATGAAATTAACTAAGTCACCTTTCTTTTCATTTTGATTTTCTTGGTCAAACTTTTTAAACTTTGACCGTAATTTATTGGAAAAATACATTAAATTGTTGTTTTGAAGCATAGTTTTAAAATATAATATAATATTATATATATATATATATAGAGAGAGAGAGAGAGATTAATAATCAAAGTGTTGCATTAGAGATTGCAAAACATCAAATGGGAATAAAATCTATTGACATAGGGAGTATAAAATTACTTCCTCAAAAAAGTTTCTATTTTCAAAACAAATCAAAAAAAGAAAATTGACAAAAAGAAGCAAAACTGACTCGCATGTGCACTTGGAAGCAAGGTTACACGCTAATTCCATGCCATGCTTATCAAGGAAAAAATCTGATGTGGCAGGGCATGATGGGCAAATGCCTTGCCACTGCCACTGCTCTAAACATTACGGAGTATTTACTAATGGCATGGATAGATTACATCCAAAACATACAAGCAAAAGAAAAAAAGTTAGAAATGGATTTCGAACACTAAACCCGTAGAGAATAGTACTAGCCTCATCAACCAACTGGACAGGAAACCTCTGTTTATAAAGATTATGTATATGCTATTAATATATATACCAAAATTCAGTGGGTTCACTTGGCCCCACTTGGACCAATGTAGGTCCGCCACTGGTGCCAACAACTCCACCTAGCCAACTTTAGCAAAAATTGACCTCATGGATAATTGTCTGCAACATAGAATCCAAAAGTATGGTAATATTCAAATGAATACATTAACAATCAAAGTTGACAATTATCTCTCTGCAATGCGCTAGAAGCGCACAGCTGCACACAACAGGGTCATGTGGGACAGCGGTAGTACAAAAGTTTTTGGCAGGAAAAAAGAAAAGGAATGGACAATAAGTGGTTAGTAAATTTAAAAAAGAAACACACAAGTAAGAGATACAAAGAAGCCAAATCAAGAAGAAAAGACTCAATATCAAGTGTAACAATCAAATCTTTATGGTACCAGACACAGCAAGGTACATAATTTGTGAGAGAAAGTGCACATATTTCTTCTAGTGCACATATTTAAAGTGAAATTGCACAGACAAAGTATTTATTATGCAAAGTCGCAGCTCAAGAAAGGGAACTTTTGGTGGAGTTGCGATTGTGATATTGTTATTTGCTTATATACAATCAGGCTTAGAGATTGAATCTTCAAGTCGAATTTCACTGACCATGTTTATTTTGACCCTTCAGTCCCAAGGGAAGCTCTGACAATGAGCCAGACTAGTTATGGAGAGTGTACAAACTCAACATAAATCCAGAAAGAACAAATCAAATGATAAAACTCCAATTTGTATGAGGGCGAGATTCACCCCAAAATAAAATTAAAAATAAAAACTGAAAACCAAGAAAGGGCTTTTGATAGAAAGGTGCGATTTTTATTAGAATTGAGTAACAATTATAGCAATATGAATTAGATAAAATTCTTATGGTAATGGAAGCTTGAGAAGGGAAAGCAACAGAGCAACTTCTACAAGAAAAGCTGCAATCTTTCTTTCTTAAAATCGGATAAACCTTCAAAAAACCATAATTAGAACATATATACAAAAAACATAACAACTGAGCTTACACGATGGAGAGCTCTGATGATGTCAAGACCAACGGCGCGGAATTAAGCGACGATTGATGATGTTGTAGCTTTGGTGCTGCGAACGCAACAGATCGAAGATCATCTGTGAAAATCAGAATGAATATCAATACAATTCTCGACTACAACGTGTGATATCGTGATGTGGTTTCCGCAACTGGTGTGTATCTTGTCGTAACATATGACGGCGCGGAATTAAGCGATGGGGTGAGACGATTGATGATATTGTAGCTTTGGTGCTGCGAGCGCAACAGATCAAAGATCAATACAATTAGGACTTTCTCGACTACGACTTTTGATATCGTGATATGGTTTCCACAATTGGTATGTATCTTGTCGTAACATATGACGTTCCCTCCATCAGTTCGATATTTCGGGTGTTTTTCTCCGGTACCTGTGCAGGTGACGGACGATTCATACTCGTCATTAAGTTACTCAGTAGTTGTGACGTGGATTTATCTAAACTATTACCAAGTACAAATTTCCAAATCATTTTTTCTTTACAAAATTCCAAAGATTTTTTACAAACTATTCTCTCCTGGCTTAAGTGGTAGCAAGCCCACTTCCCAGGATTCATGGGGAAGTTCACCCAGATTCGAGCCCCAGCGAAAGCAGCAGCATTGGCTCTTTGTGCGTCATTAGTCATTAGCTTGAGAATAGTATGAACAGATACTACCTTGTAATAGAGTCAATAGCATTCAAAAAAAAAGTTACACAAATCATTTTTTCTTTACAAATTTCCAAAGATTTTTTTTGTACAAACCATTATTCGTACAATTTGTGGGAATGTTGTTTCGCTACAAATCAGAATCTTCGACCTAATAGAATACTCTCTCCGTCCACCCATTTTTTGTCCACTTTTGATTTTTGGAACTGTTCATCTAAGCATTTTAACTCATCAAATTCTCTGAATGTGTAAGCCTAAATATAGTCATGTGTAATCTTATTTGATTCGTCTTAACATATAGATTATTAATATGTAATTTTTATAATTTTTTACTATACAAATTACAAGATAAAATGAATTAAAGAAATGCATTGGATGGTGTGTAAAAATGAAAGTGGACAAATACTCTGGGACGGAGGGAGTATTTTTTTTGTTCAAGACAACGCTTACAATTTTTTAAAGACGAAAATTTTTTATACTTTGTAATCGCAAAAAAGAAACATACTTTTTTTTAAATATTATTATTATTACATTGCTTATAATGAAATTATCTTATTTAAAATATGTATGAAGTAAAAATGTAAACATAATTATTTTTTGTTCGATTTTTTGTGTTACTTACAATTTCAACATTCCTCTTTTAGCTTAAATTTTTAATTATTAACGTGTATATATGATTCTTTCTTACCAAAACTGTGTATAAGGAAATCACTTTATTTAAAATACATATAAAGTTTAAATGGAAACACAACTGTAACTTTATTATTATTATTATTATTATTATTATTATTATTACTATTATTATTATTATTATTATTATTATTATTTTTATTATTATTATTATTATTACTACTACTACTATTATTTTGCTTATAAAGAAAATTATCTTACTTAAAATAAATATAAAGTAAAAATGTAAACACAATTATTTTTTGTTCGATTTTTAGTGTTATTACTATTTCAACATTCATTTTTTAACTTAAAATTTTAATTATCAACGTGTATTTATTTTTGTTTGGTGTACAAATGAGATATCACATTTTTGTGTACCCCTAACATTATTGGTGCTTTTAAAAATACTTGTATGCAATGCGCCGGGCACGGTAAAAGCAATTTGTTGAAACATGACAGCAATGCTCCATTCATTCAAATTATAAAATGAGATTTGGATGTTAGAAAAAATTAGAAAGAGTTGAAAAAATTGAATGAAGTTCGAACAGAAATAATGGAATAGAAATACCTAATGGGCTTTGGCTCGTACTAAACTCTAAATACTAATAATATAGTTAATCTTCAATCATATCAATGCATTAAAATTTAAAGATGACAAGTGAATTAGAAATGTCAGGAAAAATTGAGTAACAAAAGGAAATAAACAAAAATGTGCGAAAATTTAAAAAGAGGAGAAAGAAGTTTTTGAAATCTTGATAAATGCAGACCTTAGCTCTACAATTTTATTTCTTTAGTCTCTTAGAAACTTTTTAAAGAAAATTTACAAAATTGTTTAAAATTGACAAAGTGTATAATTGACCCACACACTCACTCAAAAGTTATAACTCTCCTATCTAGATTTTCTCATAGTTTGTGAAAAGAAAAAAGAAGTGATATTGGGTAAATTCTAACCTTATATTACTTACCTTCAAGAGCATCAAATACAGCGTAATCATAAAATCTAAATAATTTTGAGACGTAGAGTACAACAACAAACTAAAATTTTAGCCTCGATTGACATCTCCAAACAATTATATAATATAGATCACTAGTACTCACCAAGGGCTGTATCATTTCCCCCGCTCCCAAGCAGAGAGAGTTGACTTTGCAGAGACTGAGTCATCAATTAAACCTTGACATAGTAAAGCTCCATCCGATAGTGCGATCCGGTGAACAAACTGATACACTACCACTCTAGTGATAAAAAGTTTAACAATTAAGAATTAATCTTTAGTAGTATCGGGTACTTAGAGGTAACTAAAGATGACAGTGAATTAGAAACGTCAAGAATAGTTGAGTAACAAAAGGAAATAAACAAAAATGTGCAGAAAATAAAAAATTGAGAAAGAAGTATTCAAAATCCTGATACGTGCAGACCTTAACCCTACAATTTTATTTCTTTGGTCGCTTAGAAACTTCATGGACTTTCAACATACTCGTAGTTGGGTTGCAACATTAAAAATTTTCCCAAAGCATTAGGATTTGGCATCGATTTGAGGTTGGGCCATATCTGATCAAAGTAATGTAGCTCAAGTTATATGCATCTTCTCCGTTGAATTGAGAAGTTCATGGGGATTGATGATAGGTTTAAGAAGTAAAATTTAGGAAAATTAATACACAAAATTAAATTGAATTACGGAAATTGATGAAATTAATTTAACCTCCTAAGCGACAAACCCACTAAACCTTGGAAGTGGTAGAAATTCTTCTACGGGAGAATTACTCACAAAATTAAATTGAACTATTGAAATCTTCCACAACTAACCAAATCTTCTCTATGTACCGGCTCAACGGGCAACCAGTGATGATGAACCGCCTTCGTCCTAAGATCCAATTATTGTAGATGTGGATACCATCAAAACCCTAGACCCAAACATGTTTTCCACTCCTTTTTACTGTAGCTTTGAGCGGGAAAAACTATTGTTTATTTTGTCCCTTATACCTTTGTATATAGTAAGGTAGGGTGAGGGCTAAGAGATACATATTTGGGTAAATTGGACCCAAAGCCACTTAGGCCATGTCTTCTTCACTAGTCTGATTGGTTTTGATTTGATTAAAATAAATTTTTATCTAATCTGAATGTAATTATATTTAAAGTTATTTATGATATAATCAAATTTTAATAAGAATAAGTAATAAGTTAAAAAGATTGAGGAGAATATGACCTTAATTAATTAAGTTAAATTAAAGAAGATTAAAAAGAGATAAAAAGGGATAAGGTCGGTCATACTCAATACCCAATCGCGATGATACGAAGAGGGAGAGATAGCGATCTCGAGGGTTTCGTCGGTGACAAAACTCCCCATCGCCTGCGCTTCCCGGCGAGTGAGGGCGACGAGAGCTAACGTCTGACGTGCATCATACCTCCAAAGAGGTCCACCTCCGAAACTTGATAGTTATGGTTTTCAAAGGTATAATCCATGACAGGTATTTTAGATCTTTATAATTTGGTTCCTGAAGTTTAGAATGTTAAATTACATGTTTCTCACTCTCAATTTTGAATTTTCGTTTTGTTTGGGTTGTGTGTTTCGGATCTTAGCTATTACAGTATCATATTTGTGCGAGAATTGCATCTGGATCATATTAATTGAGATTAATCATCTGTTTAGGGTTGGAATGAAGTTTAAATGCTCAATCTTTGGTTATTTTGCTGATTGTAAAACTGTGATGAGTGAGTAGTAGCGTATTCCTTGGTTTTGGGCGTAATTCTATGAGTCGAATTCTGTGTTGAAGCTAGAAATGGAATTAATCTGTTTTAATCTGAAAGACGTATGTTAGAAGAGTACGTTTTGTACGATAATTGAGACTACATGTGTTTGTTAGGATCAAATGAACTATGTAGACCTCATTATCAATGAGAATATGTTCTTCCGAGGGCACATTTTACTAAGGGAGACAGAAATAGTGCCCAACGGTTAGTTCAAGTCAAATTGATCCTTGATTCCTACTTTCTCGCCTTTTAACATGGTGTCAGTATATAATCTAGATGGTTGAGTTATAGTGATACCTTGGGTTTAGTTGTCTAGCTCTTAATGCTCCTGCTTTAATTAAATTCTAGGGCTGGTCTTGGGGTTGTCTTGGTGGGTAGGACTAGGGTTAGGGCTGGTCTTAAGCCTAGACAAACTGTAAGGATAACCTGGTGGGTAATTCCACCAGCCCAAGCTTCTTTCATGTTTAAAAAGCAATCTTTTCTAATGATTCACATGACTTTCTCACATGATTTTACATGCCCAAAACCCCGATACCAAGGCACTTTTCCAATTCAGTAAACTAGTTTTATTTAAGTTTCACTTGTCTTTTCTTCTGTTTAGTCTCTTTTAATTCATTTGTTAGTTTTTGGGCTGCATTTAGTTACTTCTTTGTCTTTAGTTGTTCAACAATCAAACCAAACCTCCCTTTTCTGTTTGCGTGTGTGTGTGTGTTTTGTGACTTGTGTAGCTCAAAACAAACATTACTCTTCCTGAGGAAGAATGACCGTACTTGCCACTATACTACCCCTTGTAATTAAGTGAAGTACTAGATGTAATTTAGGTACTAAATTTGTTAGCACCTGACAAGTGCTCAACATTATTATTTTTTCTTTAAGAGCTACTTTTCCAGTATTTTTTAAAATTAGGTAAAATAAAAATTAAGACTATAAATTCGTACTACCCAGTTCGCAGTCTGTACCCCCTTCGGCTTGCACGAAAGAAGGAAGATGCATTGCTAATTGCTATGTATCAAGTCACAGTCCCAATCTTGAATGACATCTACCGCTTTGAGTACGTGCAAGTGAAGGAATTAGGTACCATGATTTACTAGTCAAGAGTGATGTGATTACCTTGATTTCCAATTTGATTTAATTTAGAGATGGATAATTATCATGATTTGGTTACTGTTATCTTGATTTAGATATTCTATTGATTATTGTGATTTATGGTGTATTGATTATCGTGATTTATCGCAATTCTATTGATTATCGTAATTTCACATTTAGATATTCTATTGATTACGATGATTTAAAGTGATTTAGGTATCCTTCTTTTATTCTATTGCCCGATTGAGAAATTCTATTACTATGATGAATACCTTGATTTACAAGTTGAGAATACCTTGATTACCTTGATTTACGAGTTGATATTATCCTGACTATTGTGATTTAAAGTGATTTAGGTATCCTCTTTTGATTATCATGATTATTGGTGTAGAATCTAATTACCGTGAGATTCTTGATTTATAGATTAACGTGATTACCTTAAATAAAGCATCATTGTTAGATACTATGTAATTGATTGTTTATGTACTACTTCCTTCGTCCCAGTGTATTTGTTTACTTTTCCTTTTTTGGATGTCCCACTATATTTGTCCACTTATTATTTTTGGTAAATAATAAAATATCAAAAGTCATTTTTGCCCCTCCTTTTTATTTTAACCCATCACACCCTTCCTCATTTATCACCCACTACCCTGTTTTGATGTTGTGTGTTCCCGTCTATAAATCTATCTATCTTCCTCTCGTGGCTTAGATTTACTCCACTTACCTCTCATCTTGTGCCTAGTCGAACTATGTTCCCTATTTCTCCTCTTTGACCTTAAACCCTCTTCTTCATTTTGACCGCCGAATCATAGAAGTGAATGATTTGGGTTTCTATTTTTCTTCTCTTTGGCCATCGTTGGTGCTTCTCCGGCAGTGGTCCGTTTGATGATAAGGTGCATCTTGGTCTTCTGATGAAAATTTAAGGATATGGACGGAAGTTTCGGAGGGGATGTGCGACGAACGGAGGTTGTGGCGGTGTTGGAGGGAGAGCATTTGGCCATGGAAGAATATTTGCCGGAGTTAAGCTGACGACGGTGTTGGAGGGGGAGCAATTGGCCCTGTTTGGTTTGGGACTTTTGTTGATGAAGACGATGATTGGTGGAGAGAAAGGGAGGAGAATTTGTGAGTTGGAAGATGAAATTAAGAGGGAGGGTATTTCTGTCTTTTTCCACTACCTTGTCCTACTTTCTTGGTATTTTTGCAAAAAGAATGTGAACAAAAAGAGTGAGACTGAGAGAGTATATATTGTGCAATATATGAACGGGTCGTGGTGGTGGGGGAATTGTTTATTAGTGTAAGAGAAAACTGAGTGGACAATAATTTGCAATCAGAGTCATTCCTTTTTGCTATTAGTGCGAGAATGATATATTCCTGTTACTCCCTGTTAGTACATCCATTCTAACTTGTTCATCATGCTTGGCCTTTTTTCAATTCTCCCTCATTTGTATTTTTTAACAGAGAAATCAGGATCCTATTCCAAATACATCCAAACATAATGAGATGGTACAAGGCAAACACTTTTTTTCAAAATATATAAATTGAATGACTCATTATTTTTATCCAGTTTTTTTGTTCTGTTGAAGGCATGGGTGGAGAACATTGTTCCAGGTTTTGTAACCTTAATAGAAATGGAGGAAATGAGCATGAGTTGTGTTGCCCTTCCAACACACTTTTTGTATTTTCTATTAGAGAAATGTGAGTGGTAAGACTCCATCATATATTAATATTATCATATGCCAACTTAGAATCTAATCTTAGTATTAACAATATTTCATTTGGATGCCAGCAATTTGGCTGATTTGTCCTCATCCAAGGAGTATGATGTGATGCAGATTTTTCAAGATTGTGTACAAAAAACTTACCACAACCAAAATCTCCTATCTTTGCCTTTCCACTAAAATCAATGAATATGTTGTTCAAAGATATATCACAATAGACCAGATTTTTGGAATGAATAAAAGCCAGAACATTAACACAATCTTGAAAAATTTGCATCACATCATATTCCTCGAATGAAGACAAATCAACCAAATTGTGGACATTTAAAGGAAATATTGTTAATACTAAGATTACATTTAAGTTGGCAGATGATAATATTAATATATGTTCGTGTCGATGGAGTCTTATCACTCACATTCTTCCAAGAGCCAATACAGGAAGTGTGTTGGAACTGCATTAAAATCCATCTTTATTTCTTCCATTTCAGTTAAGGTTACGAAACCTGGAACAGTGGTCTCCACCCATGCCTTCAACAGAACAACAACAACAACAACAACCCAGTTGAATCCCACAACAGTAGGGTCTGGGGAGGGTGTGGTGTGTGTACGCAGACTTTGCCCCTACTCGGAAGTAGGGAGGCTGTTTCCAAGAGACCCCCGGCTCCACCTGCACAAAAATATGGAAGAGAACACAGTATAGCACAGATAAAGCACCAAGTACAAGCAACAAGTACAAACAATAGCAAAAGATTCCCAACAAATACAACACACTACAAAACAACCTCTACAACACCGAGCTCCTATCCAGCTACTCTAATCCTAGTTCTCCAAAGGTTCCTATCTAGGGCCATATCCTCAGTCAGGTCGAGAAGTCCTAAATCCTGTCTTATCACCTCCTCCCAATTCTTCTTAGGTCTACCCCTTCCCCTACTTCCCCCGATAACCGTAATCCTCTCGCATCTCCGTACAGGGGCGTCAGCATCCCGCCGTCTCACATGGCCAAGCCA